CTTGATATGCAAATTCTCTAGCGATTCCTGTTAATTTGCACTTTGCAACTCTCAGTCTGCTGTGTTCCAATTGTGCAACTGAGCTAACTCCTCTATCTACCCAAAAAAAGTTATGACCTTAGGAACTAGTTCATCATCATATGTAGGCAGAGTATTCCCTAATGGAGCAAAAGACTTTGATTCTAGCATTCCTCCTCCTGCATTCCCATTCTGGTAGTGAGTGACATTTTACTTTTTTGTAATGGTAAACAAAAAATTATTATTTTTCTCAAGCTCACCAATCTCTGAGGCAATTTTAAAACATCCCATTGATTTTTGAAGCACTTTTAGAACATCCCACCCTTGCCACCAGTTGGGATTGGGACCATCAAAAATGAGATTACACAAGCATATGGTAGGGTCCTGCCACCAGGTGTGTTTTGTCGGAACACCAGTGATTTAGTAAAAAAAAACAAATAGTTAAGGTGCGAGGGTAAGAGTCACTCCAAAGTCCAGGAATGAGCCTCTCAGGAGGATGAATGCAGCGTCAAGTACAAATAACAAGAGTTTATTTTCGAAAAACAAAGTTCGAAACAAAATTATAAGACCCAATTTAGGAAATTGGCCTATTTCTATTCTAGAACAGCAACTGCACACCGGGTTGTATATAGCAAAATATGATCTACTTGAACCTATAACCGGTGAGTACCAAGTATAATCTTCAAAACGAATGTTTTCTTAACTCGTTCTGGGTTCTTCTTCAGGTAAATCAGCTGGATCGAACACAAATACGAAATTTTATTATAGAATAAGGGGTTATCCAAAGTATGCACGACTTACAACATACCAGGAAAAGAGTTGTCTTTTCTTCCTTCTTTACTTTCTCTCTCTGTTCTCTTCTCCCTTTCGTCTTATTTCTCCTTTATTTGTCCTTCACTAGGTCGGATGTCTCTTGTCTGGTCAATCCCGTCTGGCCAGTCAATCAGTCAGTCTCTTGATCCTGTCTCACTCTCTCCCACTCTCTCACTATGTCAATTCTCTCCCTCTCTGTTAATTTTGTCACTTCTTTCTATTTTCCTTTGTTTTTGACTAATCGTGTTTTAGTTCCAGAGAAAGGTGAGATAATTTGTAAAATGCATGATTGGTCATCTAGTGGTTCTCCTCTTCTCTTGTCAATGAGAAATGATGTGCTTCCATGTGATACCATTGGTCATATAACACCATCGAAAAAGGGAAAAATGATGGGCATCCCCTCATCTTTTCCTTCGCATATTGTGAGATTTATAACAATTAATTGATAAATTTTTTTATTCTGATTTGTTTGTCTAAATTATTTTAAGTTGATTACTTAAAATTTGGAAAGGGAATCCCTAAAATTGGAAAAATAGGCAAAATTCCTTTACACTGTTACTTGATAGATAAACAATCTCAGTGTCACATTTACATATGCATCTTCTCTTCAAAATGTGGGTCTAAAGGGTGTCTTGTCTGATAGCTAACTGTTGTTTTATATTTTTTATTTTATTTTATACCACCAGACAGAACAAACAACAGGATATAAAATAAATATAAAGTTTAAATTACAAAAAAATTTTTTAACTGATTAATTAAAGCGAATACATTATTAGTAAAAGGATTAAAGTAAAGTAATTAAAATTAAAATTATACAGATAATGCAGTATAAATAAAATTCACAAATACATATATATTTATATAGATACAATAATAGCAAAATTTTTTGGGGACTTCACAACTTTTTCAAATGCAGTTTTGATGTCAAAATCTTGCTTGCTAAACATTGATCAGCGTATCTATTGGTCTCATTAGTCATTATATCTAAGATATCATTGCTGACATATATCTGATAAATTTTATGTGGATCATCCATGTTGGTGTTACAAAGGTTCAACTTTTGATTTCCTTGAAACTGTGGGATGTTATGAGGTATTGAGCCAATTGCTTGCCTAACAGAATTAGTGATTGCTGAATGTTAGAATAATTACTGTCATTCTCATCATCGCTGGCACCTGAGTTATTGTTAGAAGCATCAGGAGGCCCTTTACCTTCTGTTTCTGATCCAGAAAACGATTCTGATTCATCCAAAACTGGTTTATAATTTGAATCATCTAAAGCCTGGACTCCACATTACAGTACCTGAAAACAGAAACTCAGAAACAGAACTGAAACATATAGAGTTTTTGTTTCAGTTATGTTTTTGTTTTAACTTGACACCACTAGAAATGCGCCATCTGTTGATCAGTTCTGTAATTGTCGTAGAGTCAAACATGGACGACGCTACGGATTTTGCCATTATTTCTCTGCATTTATTAACAATTTCATTGTTAATAATCTTTGAATTATTTACATTTTTTGTCGTACAGACATCTGCATTTTCTAACTTCTTCGATGAAGAATTCCAAATCTATTTGTTTTCTCATCGTTTTCACTACACTTTCTGCCATTACGAGAATCAAACTACACATGACTACGCATCACAAATCCTTGCGTTTTTATTGGTTGCAGTACGACAGAAGCGCGGGACGAAAACGGAAAAGTTAAATAATTTTTAACTCTGCTTTCAGTCTTGTTTCTGTCCAACTGAAC